CAGGTAATTCTGATGGACAGACAGTGAGGATCTAGACTTACTAAGAACCATTGCTCTGGACTGAAGGGGGTAAATGGTGCTGCTTTTGATGAGAGATCAGTATGATTTGAGTGTTTCTAAAAATTAAATATGAATATAAATTATTAGTTTAAGTGCCTAAACTGAGGAATGAGTGTTGTAACATTGTTAATATTAATATTGTAAGATCAGGCTGAAGAATCAGGCTTAATGGACTGCATTTTTGTAAGTGCTGATTTAGTCCAAAGCAAAAGTAAGAGCTGTTTGCTCATCATAAACCATACTTCTCAGGGATCTTTGGACTTCCTTTAAAAATTAAGGCAGCCAGTAATGGAACCAGTTGACTATAATCTCGAGATTGGGTTATTCTGTGTGTCTGGTTCTCCCTTTCAAAAAGTGGAAGATTATTATTTTTTAAGACTTTTGAACTGAGAGATGTTGATATTTTATTACTATTATTAATAATTCTAGGGGAAATTATACCATTTTATAATGGATTTTTCCAAAGGCGAGTATCTTTATTTCACTTCCGGTTTACAGTTTAGGTTTCTTCTTCTTTTTTGTTTTATTTATTTATTTATTTGAGAGAGAGAGAGAGAGAGAGTGTGGGAGCATGAGCAGGGGAAGGGGCACAGGGAGAGGGAGAAGCAGACTCCCCGCTGAGCAGGGAGCCCAACATGGGGCTCTGATCCCAGGACCCTGAGATCATGACGTGAGCCGAAGGCAGATGCTTAACTGAATGAGCCACCCAGGTGCCCAGTTTTAAGTTTCTTCTGTCAACATTTATCTTGAAAGAAGATTTTTATCGGCAACTTTTTTTTTAAAGCATTTTTTTTTTTAAAGATTTTATTTATTTGACAGATAGCAGATAGAGCAGGAACACAAGCAGGGGGAGTGGGAGAGGGAGAAGCAGGCTTCCCGCTGAGCAGGGAGCCCGATGCGGGGCCCGATTCCAGGATCCTGGGATCATGACCCGAGCTGAAGGTGGATGTTCCAACGACTGAGCCACCCAGGCGTCCCTTATCTGCAACTTTTGAGAGAGGTTTCCTTGGAGAGGACCCTCTCAGTAGTAATCACTCTGTTAGCCACTCTCAGGGCTGTAAGTTAACCGCTTTACAAATGGCCATAGCAGGGGTGCCTGGCTGGCTCAGTTAGTTAAGCATCTGCCTTCTGCTCAGGTCATGATCTCAGGGTCCTGGGATCAAGCCCTACGTTGGGCTCCCTGCTCGGCGGGGAGTCTGCCTCTCCCTCCCCCACCCCCCGCTCATTCTCTGTCTTTCAAATAAATAAAATCTAAAAATAAAAAATAAAATAAAATGGCCATAGCCACGACATCCTGGTCTTCAAATGCTACCTTCTTTGCCCAGAACTGGGCTGTGTACTTTTCCTTTTCTGCTCTTCTGTTTTACAGGTGTGACTCAGCACATCCATAACATGGATCAAAAGTGTGTTAATGCAGGAAGAGAGACATAGGAAGGTAGAACAAATTATTGAGGGTTCTTTTACTTGTTGGGAACGAATACCTAGACAGAGCCACTTATTGGCAGCTTAAAAACTTAAAAGTAGTGAGGAAAGGGTATAAAAATCCCTCCTTGGAATCAGAAAACACCTACTTATAAAACATCTCGTCTGCCATATTTCTCAGGTCCTGAAGCACTTCTTCACATTACTTAAAGAGACTAAAACCTATACTTTGGGGCGGGGGGGGCGGTGGGTGGGTGGGTGTGTGTGTGTGTGTGTGTGTGTGTTAAAGGTTTTTGTTGTTGCTTGATAGGAATATTCCTCTGCTAATGTTTTGAGTAGCACCTGGAATGCTGAAACGACAGGAGAACTCCAGGTCACTACGTGTGGGTATCTGTGAACAGCGATGGGCTACTTTTCTGTGGTTTAGCTACTTGAAAGCAACACATGGCCTCTGCGAAGTATCAGACAGTTCAGCCACAGAAATCCCTTCACATTCTCTGCTTAGAGATCATTCTATTGGCCTTAAACTTGTGAGAAAGGAAGACTTTTGGGGGGCGGGGGAGGTGGCCATCTCTGAGGATATGCAATTTCAATGCCAAGATGTAGGTAGCTTGTGCCTTCATGAAAATTTAGACAGTGCTCATTTCATCTGTTGACAGAGGCAGCATGGTGGATAAGCCCAGGATTGAAACCCAGCTCCTTGGACGAGTTACCTAACCTCTCTGTGCCTCAGTTTCCCCCATATGCCAAATGGAGATGGTAATGGAACCTAGCTCGTTGGCTGTAGTGAAACTGAGTGTACATGTAAAGTGCTTACAGGGGCCTGGCTTGTAGTGAGGGCTTTGTAAGCGCACACTGTCGCTGCTCCATTCCTGTTGCTGTAATTATTAGTGTTAATTAACTCTTGTTAACTCTTCTCTGCTCCCGGATCAGGTTGAGTTTGTAAAACTTCCACATCCTTCTTTTTTTCTTCTGAATTTATTTACCTTGATTTTTTTAGACTTAGGTTTTATGTAAATATTTCAAACATGGGAAACTAGAAAGGACATACTCATAGGAAAATGCTATTTTTAAAGGTAAAAAAAGCAAAGTGTCCCTTGATGTGTGAAAAGTAGAACTCACAAGCATATTACCTTGAGATATATGGATCATCTTATGTGCATGTACTGTACATAGTTGTAATTCTAGAGAACATACCATTTTGTAGACTTTATCCCCCAACATTAGAGTATAAGTATTTTTTTAACTATTCTTTTGCCTTTGAGTAGTTTTAAGTGGTTTTGTACCATGAATAATTACTGCTTTATTGAATATGTTGCTTCCTTCCTGGGATCGAGCCCCGCGTCGGGCTCTCTGCTCGGCGGGAAGCCTGCTTCTCCCTCTCCCACTCCCCTGCTTGTGTTCCCTCTCTCGCTGTCTGTCAAATAAATGAATAAAAATCTTTAAAAAAAAAAAATTGTAAGTAAAACGGCAGTGAAAATCTTACAGCAGGTGATTGGGGTTATCTTGGAAGATTATTTTTGTTTCGCTTTTTTGATTAGGAATCTCTGCATTTATTTCCTGGTACATGGGAATCTTACTATAGCATGATTCTTTGGGAAGTTAGCCTTATGAAGGTGAAATGGCTCCTATCCATGTAATACCACCAAGTCTCCGTTACTTGGGGCTCAAGGTAGACCTGCTCTGCGTCAGGACCTGGTGCGTGGGAACAGGAGTGAGCCAGCTGTCCTGTGATTCTCCGTGACATTACTGGCTAGACCTGAGCTGTCCAATATGAGATCTAGCCATGTGTCCTTATTTAAATGTAAATTAGAATTAAACAAAAAATTTCAGTTCTTCAGTCACACCAGCCCTCATGCGTCCGTCCATAGCCACATGTGGCCAGCAGCTACCATCCTGGACAGTGCAGATACAGAACACTTTCATCATGCAGAAAGTTCTGGCTTACTCTCCCGCTGCTCACCCCAACCATTAAGGAAGCCGTACACTGACAGGGAAGAGCTGACGATTACTCGTGGGGTTTTCCAAAGCAGAGGGTGACAAACATTGTTTGCCTGGTTTTGTATATAAAGTTTGATTGGAACACAGCCACACCCATTTGTTTACCCATTCTCTGGGAGTGCTTCTGTGCTAGGTGGCGGACCTAAGGGTTGCATTGTTAGGCCAGGGTCCACACAGGGCCCACAAGGTCTAAAGTATTCTGGCCCTTTATGAAAAAGTTTGTCAACCCCTTTTACCTAGACCAGGATTTCTCAACCTCAGCACTGTTGAATTTTGGCCCAGATAATTACTTGTTGCAAAGGGCTGTCCTGTGCATTGTAGGATGTTCAGCAGCAGCATCCCTGCCTCTATCCACCTGTCCCCCTCCCCCATCCAGGTGTGACAACCAAAAATTTCTCCAGACATCACAAGATGTCTGCTGGGGAACAGATCACCCCTGGCTGAGAACCACTAATCTAAAATGATGTGGCTTGACCGAACCCCCATTTATAATACCGCCTAAGAGTGCTCACTGTAACAGGGAAAAAATACATTAAAAGAGCAAAATAAATGAAAGAGTAGTTCTTATGCTGCTATACTTTAGCATTCCCTCCAGAAATAGAAGTTTTTCTATAAAACATGATAGAATAACTGAAGTAAGGAGCCTGGAGGCACTAAGACTGCACAGTTGACTGCTGAGGAGCAAATAGAATGGAAGTTACCGCATCTCTGAAGTGATGGGAACATGTGGTTTATTTTACAGGTTTGTAAGGCCTGTTTCCTATAAAACACTACGTGACTGCAAAGTTCTTATTGACTTTGCTGTGTGTGTAAATGTTATCTCTGTATACCCAGCACCTTGTGCTGCATCTGGCAAGAAGGGAGTTGATAAATGTGTATGAAAATGATTGTTAATAAATTCAGTAAATCTTACGATTATCTGTGATCTTAAGTGGCCCGCGTAGGTTCCTACCTTCATTAGCCAGAATTAAAAGACTGGTTATATTTACCTCCATTAAAGGTGATGAGAATTGAATTAAGCATCAAGGCGTATAAAACTGTGTTCTTCTTGAGATCTGGCGCTTGAATACTTTTCAGAGTGGGGATTTTCAAAGCTATAGAAAAAGGCAATACCAAGAGATAACTACTCATAAGATTGTAGAGTGCTGTAGAGTTTGGGGGCACGCATTTTAATTCAACATGTATGTACTATGTCTGAATTCTTGGTTTAGAACATGGAATGAATTAGAATTGGGACAATTGCCTTTGAAAGCCAATATCAGGTATACCTTTATCTGATTCTTCAAAGTAAAATGAAGTTTTAAATTTTATTTTATTTTATTTTATTTTTTAAGTTTTAAATTTTAAAACTGGTATTGAAAATAATATGTAATAGAGATCACATGTAACGGAGCACTTTTATGGAAAACTTCATGTGGTTGATTATTTCGGAAGATAAGCAGTTTTGACTACTGAATTCAAGTGAATTTTAGGTGAACTTTTCTCCATGCATGACGTATTTCTGTTTGTTTTTTCAGACCTTACCAATATATTTGAGTCCTTCCTGCCCCAGTTGTTGGCCTATCCCAACCCCATAGATCCTCTCAATGGTGATGCTGCGGCCATGTACCTCCACCGACCGGAAGAATACAAGCAGAAAATTAAAGGTAAGAAGGCAAATAGTTTAACCTAGAGACAGAATACGTGTTTTGGGCTTTGATCATTAAAAGCCCTTCTTAGTTAATAATAATTTTTCTCAGGCCTTAAAACAGACCGCTGTCTGTGGGCTGGAGCAGAACTCACTAGCCCCTGTAGTTCCAAGGGGTCATTGACACCTTGGGAAGGCTGAAGGTCCCAGCAAGGAAGATGAGGAGGAGTGAGAAAGAGCAAAAGGAAAGATGAGAAAGTGGGGGGCACCTGTTAGGTGGTGGTGGATGTGACCCTCCCAGAAATCCCCGTGGACCCCTGTCAAAAGAACCTTAGCCTTCATTTGCTTCCTCTTGTCTTGTAAAACTAGAAAACTGGGGCTGGAGAGTGAGGTATTAAATGAAAGACCTAATCTCCCATTTGTTTACAGATGGCATCATCCTGGCCCATCAGGAAAGCTGTTAACTTTGGAAGTTGGGAAATGCCAAATTCTTATACTTTTTCTAGTGTATCATTTTACCTGCTGAATTAAGAATACCTAACTGGCTTCTTTTCTTGGCCCCATACTGATTTACTTTGGAAAGTTTACATCTGGGCACATTTCTTGTCTGCTGCAGATATCTGGCCCCAGGGCCCAGTTTTCTAGTAAAACTTGAAATGTGCTGTGCTAGGTAGAAATGTGCTTGTGGCAGGAGAGCTAGTTTTCTCATTCTTTACAATTTAGAATCCTCCTTTCTCGCTCTGAAACCGTTGACCTGCTAATGGGACACGAAGTTCATTAACATGAACTTGTGGTTTCAAAAGAACATCTATAACTTCACACCGGTTTACTGGTGTTCATTTTTACCTCTCTGTGTGCTTGAGAACCTTTGTAGTGAAAAGTCTAGATAAAATTCCACCAGAAAGTAAAGGAATTCAAAGTCATGAAAGTAGGCCTACTCTCCTTACCAAATGGCAGGCATCCATATTTACCTAATTGTTAGCATGACTTGCCCGTCTGTGTAGCAGTTCAGATTGTCAACTTCTGCCTCATCTTCTGAGGTCCATCTGCAAGAGGTGGCAGTAGAAATAATTTACAAGAGCCTGGAATATATAGGTCTTGACTCTTTTAACTGTCCAAGTATGAGACAGGCGCATCTGAGGCTTTCCTTTGGTTTTCTCATTCTTCTCTGATCTCTGTAGGGTACTGTTTGGTACTTTTGTTGAGATAAAATAGAAATAAATCTACTCCAATTAATTTACTTAGGTCTCAGGTGTTTTTGCAAATTAATAATCTAATTTATGTAGCAGAATATCTGTATAGCCAAACATGTATTTCAAGGGGGAAGAAATACAGTCCATTTCAACCAGATAAAATTCTATTATGAGACTGTATTAAAATTGTGACACAGGAATCACTTAACAGTGTCTGCAGCCCACAGATCTCCCAGTGCGGAGCATATTTCTGTAGTTCTTAGATTCATTATGCCTCAGCAATTTAACACTATTCCTGTTTTAGAACATATCTGCTATAGTACCAGTTACAAAAGGAATCCAATCTACATTTTTATTTTAGAATGGCAAGCTCTAGCTTAGGGAATTGAGCTTTCTGAAATGTCAATGTTGGCTATCATTTTGTCTTCCTGAGAAATGTGAAAACCAGGGCTGTAAGAACTATCCTGATGGTTTAGATGCGCTCCCCTGGCCCCCAGCTTGGGGGCTTGTTCTCCCAACTCTCCCCTGCCTCCCAGCACTGGGTTCTCCTCTGCACCCAGCCTGTCGGAGGCTTCCCCCTTTCAGAAGCCTCTGTCTGCTCCTGAGGACCTCTTTGTCCTGCTCTTGATTTCCTGTCATTTTCAAACTTCTCACTTCCTTGCCCTAAACCCCTGCTAGTTTGTTTTCCCTCTTCTACTGATAACCTGTTACCCCATTTCTTCCTAATCGTGTGCACCCTGCTCAAGACCCATTTTCCTGACTTCTCTGCGGCTCTCGTATTTTGCCCCTTCCCTTCCTGAAAACCTTTCTCATTCCATTCCCAAACGTGGTCATTCTCTCAAGAGTCTCAGTCATTCAGCCCTCCCTCACCCTCCCTCACCACTTGGGGAGCTGATACACTCCTCACTGCTTTAGATAATTTATTTCCTCCAGGTAGGTGATTTCCAAAAACCTCTCTCCCAAGCTGCTACCAGACATTTCTGTGGCTAGCCTCACAGGACAGCGTATGTAACCTTTCTTACCATGGATTTTCGTCAGCATTCCCATTTCTTTGATGTTTTTTTATCATGTAGATAGGAGCTGCCTGTGGGATGGGCACCAGTGAGCTGTCTAAAGATACGACACTTCCCTGCTTAACCTTCAATGGGGTGGCATCGTACCTGCCGTTCACGGCTTTCTCTCGCTCTGTGTGAGCTCCATCTTTTGCCTTTACTCCTAGATGTAGCAATATGTGACCATCACATTGGATGAGTTTCAGATACCCAACCATATTCCCTTCCTTAGGGAAAGTTTCAACCTAGAGAATAACTTAACCATATACTCACTGTCCAACTACGGCAAGACCTATACATTTTGCTTTATTTGCTTCAGATACAAATGTAGTTCTCGGCCTTGTGTTTTGACATACTGGCCACGTCCTTCTCACCTGTGCATTTTTTTTTTTTTTTTAAGATTTTTTTATTTATTTGAGAGAACGAGCAGGGGGAGTGGCAGGGAGAGGGAGAAAAGCAGACTCCCCCTGAGCAGGGAGCCCGATGTGGGGCTTGATCCCAGGACCCTGGGATCATGACCTGAGCCAAAGGCAGCTGCTTAACTGACTGAGCCACCCAGGCACCCCCTCCCGTGTGCTTTTGGCGAGGCTGTGCCTTTCGCCTGGAATGGCATGTCCTATGCTGCAGCTGAGAATTCCTTCAAGGGTCAGCGCAGATGTGCCTGCCTTCCTGGCTCTCAGAGGCCAGAGGCCCTTCCTCCATTCTTCCCTCCGATGGCACTTGACAGCTAACTGCCTTTATCTGCATCTGTCTCCTGCTCATAAATGACCTTGTTCTTCATTTTTCTGTCTCCTGAAAGGTCTTGTCCTAGTAAGCTAAGCAGTTAAAACTATTTCCTCGAATATACTAAAGAAGACTAATTGTATCACCTTACAGTGTCAGAGAGAAATGTCAAAGTGCAGCAACTTCTTTCTACAAATGCAGTGAAGTAGCTGACCCATTAGAGGGTAAAAATAGCATTTCTGGGACTGTAATAAACATTTCTCTCCAAAAGGTAAATTCAGGTAAGTTCTTACCTAATCAGGAGCTTTTGGAATCTCATCTCCGCCTAAAACTTCATTATAATGAATTTGTAGGGTTCTAAGTCAGAAGTCTGTAAACTTTTTCTGTAAAGGGCCAGATTCGGCCACCTGTAGTCTCTGTCACATATTCTTTCTCTTTGTTCCTTTTTTTTTTTTTTCCCCCCTTTTAAAACAACCCTTTGGGGGGGCGCCTGGGTGGCTCAGTCGTTAAGCGTCTGCCTTCGGCTCAGGTCATGATCCCAGGATCCTGGGATCGAGCCCCCCGCATCGGGCTCCTGCTCGGTGGGAAGCCTGCTTCTCCCTCTCCTACTCCCCCTGCTTGTGTTCCCTCTCTCGCTGTCTCTATCTCTCTGTCAAATAAATAAAATCTTAAAAAAAAAAAAAACTGGGCCTAAGAATGCCCAAAAGACTTTAAAAAAAAAACAAAGCCCTTTAGGGGCGCCTGGGTAGCTCAGTCAGTTGAGCATCTGCCTTCAGCTCGGGTCGTGATCCCAGGGTCCTGGGATCAAGTCCCTCATCGGGCTCCCTGCTCAGTGGGGAGTCTGCTTCTCCCTCTGCCCCTCTCCTCCATTTGTGCTCCTCTCAAATAAAATCTTTTTAAATAAATAAATAAATAAACAACCCTTTAAGTATATCAGAAATATTCTTCGCTAGGCCCCTGTGTTATATTATTCCAATTTGGCAGGCTCATTTGGTCATTTTCCTTCTCTTACTCTCGTACTCAGTCCCTGTGACTCCATAGGAGGAGAAACAAAACATAAGGACGTGAGGATGTGTTTCTCTCCTGCTGGCACTCTGAATAGGTTTCTGTCTTGTCTCTTGGCTATTTACTGAAAAACAGTATGCACTTAAGAGTTTTAAGAACAAGTTTGTTTGTTGAGCAGTTCTTAAAATTTTCTTCCAGCCAGCAGATTCAGCCTAGGCTGTAGCTGCATAAATCTTCAGGTAAATAATAGATGATAAAGTGACTCAGGCTCACTGTGTCTCCAGATAGCAGCTCATTCCTGAGCAGATTGAGAGACTGTTTTCACCAGCTGCTTCAAAAACCTGACAGGCAGGATCTGTTTAGACTAAAATCTATTCCTAAAATAATAGATCTGGGTTGATTGTAATTACATAACTGCAAGTCTAAAAATGATGGGGGATTTCCTTATAAATTACTATGGAATCATAACTAGTCCTGTTCTACCTGGGAGGGTGAATAGTTTTATTAACATAGAGATAAGAAGAAAGTACAGGGTTCACACTACCCAGTCCTTTGAGTTTGGAGGAGTGCGGCCATCTGGATAAGCCACCAAGGCAAGAGTGAGGGTGGCTTGGCGGCTGAACTGGAGGCCAGTTCACACCAGACACTGTCCTGGATGCCTGCCGGCTTCCCTATGTCTCAAAGCCAAGGCCCAGGGTGGCCGGCTGCCTCGTACACATCCACCTGGGAGGTGATGGCCCAAGGGAGTTCTGGGCTAGAGGTGCAATATGTATCTGCACCCCTGCAAATCAGATGTTCTGCTTTGCCTCTTACTAAGGGGGCAAAATGCATGAACTCCAGAGACGTCTTCCGTGGGGTTTTCCCCTTAGCTTCTGTGACCATACCCCGGCAGGTAAGGAAGGCTCGAGCTTCCCTGGGCCTTTGCCAGCTTTGGGGGTCACTGAAGCCCATGCCTGCCTGCTCACAGCCTCTGTGGTTTTTTTTTTTTTTATCCCTGCCCCCTGTGCAGAGTACATCCAGAAATATGCAACGGAGGAGGCACTGAAAGAGCAGGAAGAGGGCACCGGTGACAGCTCGTCGGAGAGTTCTATGTCTGACTTTTCGGAAGATGAGGCCCAGGATATGGAGTTGTAGTAGAAAAAGCACCTGCTTTTCAGAAAGACTATTATTTCCTAACCATGAGAAGCAGACTATAATATTCATATTTAAACAAAGCAATTTTTTTTATTACTAAACAAGGTTTTTATGAATAATAGCATTGATATATATATATTATATATCACCCTTTAGATCTTGATTTCTTGGTCATTTCTCAACCTGAGGTGCATAGCATATTCCCACATTCCATTTTGGTAGCAATATGCGGTCGGAATGCATGCATTCATAAGTCCATTTGGCCAAGTCAGCCTGTGTGCTACTGAACTGTCAAAAGAAATAGCCGCTCTGATAGATAGACATGAGTAAAAATAACAGGAAAAAAGTTGCTTCTTTTATTGATGGTTCCAAAGAAACAAACCAAACCAACCAGCTCTTGGATGTGAAGCTAGAATAGTGCTTTTTCAGAATGGACGGGAGGAGCTGGGGGAGGACCAGGCCTGCTGTGGGAGCGTGGAGAGCCAGCCACCTCAGAGCCCGAGCCGCTCCTCCCTGTGAATCCCAGGTGGCCCCGTGTCTGGAGTAACAGCATCAAGCAGGGAGCTAATTGGAGTATTGAAACGTAAAACAATTTTTGACTCTGGATTTTAAGTACATTTTTATATGTAGATTCCTGCCTGTCTCACGACCAGGCCCTGCAGCCACAAGTGTTTTGCTTTGAAGAACTTTTTGGAAGTGTTTTCTGAACCTGATTCTTTTTCTTGGGCTAGAGCTTGTAATCCATACCTTTTTGAGGGGACAGGACAGGAGGAGTGAAGTGACTGGGGAGGCGCCCATCTCTTCCAGCACGTGCAGAGTCACACCCTCACCCTGTTGGCCACTTGGAGACTGCTGCCCTGGACTAAGAGCTTTAAATTTGAGGGTGGTTGTGGGTGTTTTTGTTCGGGTTAGAGATTCCCCCCCCCTTCCTTTCCTTTCCAGTTTTTTGTTTTGTTTTGTTTTTAATGTGTGTGTGTGTGAATTGTGCTTAGACAGGTCGCAAATTTAATCTTCACCTCCCAAGAGATGGCCTCCTTGGACAGCCGCTCGGTGGACCATTAGACCCGGCAAGAAGACCCGTCTGGTGGCCCGGGTACTCTCATTCATGTTTTTGGTTTTGTTTTCCCTTCTGCTGCTCTTGGCAGGCAGCAGCCTGGTCATCATCTGCTTGTGGGAGTGGGAAATGGGTATTTTAGACCCAACACACAATTTAAATTTAAAATGAGTAATAATTGGAACAAATAAAGGTCCTTGTACCCAAAGTGACTGTACATGGGAAAAACAAACCACTTTATTCAGAGCGTGACTGAATAGGAGGAAAGAGTTCAGAAATACGATGCAGTAGAACAGGTTTTGAAGGAAGAACATATTCTCTCCTGTATGTGTTAAGAGGAAATCAGACAGTTTAAAATGCCTGCTAATCAAACGTTTACTCAGCTCACCATATGTCCAGGTTGCCGGCAGAGTTTCTTTTCAGATATGAGTGTGTTACCTACTGAATCTGGAGAACCTTAGACAGCAAGTCTGTATCCCTTTTTTGCCACAACCAATAGGACAATAGCAGAATTAGCCAATTCTGAAACCTTCTAAAAGACAATTTTTGAACGTCCCACTAGGATAATTGAATTTTTCTTTCTGATGTGTGTTTTTAGTTTAGAAGTGCTATCTATTCCACAAGATTGGAGTCAATGAGGTTGGAAGATATCCTTTTTTTATTCAAAAAGCACAATCAATCTTTTCTTTGAAAATCTATATAAAGTACAACTTGCTTTTAGCATGATTATTTTCCTAAATAAGAGACAAAGAATTTACTTATTTTATGTTAATTACGGGCATGAAGCAAAAGGTTTTCTTTAAAAAAAAAAAATTTAAAGTGCAGTTAGTAGGGCTGTGGTTAGTTAACTGTACTGAGTTATCTATCTAGCATTTGTGGCTTGTTGGAGGGGTAGTGTTAACTATTTAACATGGAATGGTGTGCTTTAACTTTTCTAGTGCGTTGTCTTCTCATTACTTTGGGGGAGGGAGGGTCTCTGCTGGCCTTGTCTAACCTGCTTACCTGCCGAAGTAGCAGTTGCTTGTGCTATAACCGTTTAAATTGTAGGTGCGACTTAGGGTAGGCTTTAAAGTGCTGGGTGGTGGTTTGAGTTCAAACAATAAAAAATTGTATTTTTTCAATATTATATAAACAATAGTGTTCTAATTACCTTTCAAAAAAAATAATGTCCAAATAATAATTGCTTATAATCTTGACAAAACCAACAAAACAAGTAGAGCCAAGTTTTGGGGAATGTACGTGAGCCATGGCTCTGCTCCCCAACTGAATACCTTTTTCTCAAAAAAGACATCTGCTCGCCGCGGAGTGAACGCCCTGGCACTGGGAGTCTGGTGGTGCGGAATTTCCAAATGAAGACGTGTCGGGGGAGGTCACAGGGGTTAAGAAGCAGATCTGAGTATGGCTGCAGCATGTGTGCGTGTGTGTCTGTCCATCCAAGTCTGTCTGATGGTGTAATGAGGCTTCCCTATTAGCACAGGAAGCTCCTGGAATTGCTACCCAGATCACTCTGTACCCTCTCATTCTGTGCAAATCTGTCCTTTCTGGGCACTAACCTTGGTCCCATGCATGCTTTTGGCTGTGTGGGGGGCTTTTCCTCTCTGAGAAATTGGCTTTGATGGGTTGAACAGAATCCCCTTTTATGCTAACTTTTTGTCCCTTTCTGTACCTGGGAGAGGTAGGTAGGAGAAGGAGACCATGCTTCTAGGTACAGAGGGAGCTGGAAGAAAGCCTGGCTATGAATCAGAGGACTCTGGCCCCCAGTGATTGATGATACAGTAAGGCTAGAAGCGGGGGTGTGACAGCACCAAAAGCTTTTCCAGGTTTCCCGTCATAACACTCAGAAAAGCATCCAGAGCCCCTCAGAAGGGCTGAATATTATTGCTTTTAAAGGTGGTGGTAGCAGGTCCCAGAGTTGCTTCTGGCAGTTTCCCTCCCTTTCTTAGTGTACCATCGTTTTTGAAGTTTTTGTGGTTGACCAGCGCAAGCCATCCTTTGCCCCTGTTCAAATGACCTTGAGCTCAAGCTCTCGCCAAAACTGAGAAGCGAGGCGGCCGCAGCCCGGAGCCTGGAGCCCGCTGCCCTCCGGCAGCCCCAGCACCGGGGCCTGGGGGTTGCATTTTGTGGTAGCCAAGCGAGACGCTGGCATTTTGCTCTTTTGTCTTCGATCTTGTCGCCCTCCTTGAGGTGACTGTGCAGTTTCAACCAGCATTTTATACTAGTAAGGTAGTTCTCAGAAGTTGCCATATGTCTCTCCAGTACCTAACGCCGTTCTTCCACTTCAGAAGCTGTTCGCGTTGCCAACTGGCTGATCTAAACTGAGGAGGGTCTCCCCTCGAAGGAATTTTTTTCTCCTCAAAATGCTCCCTGAAGCCCTCATTGGCTTGGCCTGACACTTGCTTTTCATTAGGCCTCCTATTATGGCTGAGAATCATGAAAGATCCTCTGCTAGCCTTCATGGGTGAAGTTTCTAGACACCAAGTTTCTGGGACCTGGTGTTTGATTTTAAATGGCGCATGGCCCTTCTACATTCTAGGGACTCAATCAGAAAAAGTGAAAGCCATTAACAAGAGTTAGAGTTCCATTTCTTTTACCAACTTCGTAACCGGGTTCACGGCCTTCTTGACTAAAATCAAATCATTTCTGATTGAGCACAAAGACCTGCGTTTTCTTTGGACTTCTGAATCCATGTTCATATTTTCTCTGGCCACTGAACACCTTGGCAGTTCCATCCACGATTGGGGTGGAGGCCCCTGGGGGAAGGGGAAGCTCACTGTTGTTGGGCAGGCAGGGTCTCCACTCACCTGAGGAAGGGCCAGGACTTTCACTTCAGCAAATACTCGTCTTGGCTGTGGGCTTGGGAAGAAATGGCCATTATTTACTGATTGTATTTGGTACATATTGTGTGATACTTGAAGAGAAAAGGGACTTACCAGCCCTTAATTGAAATCTAAGCTTTTTATCGCTTATTTTTTCCTTGCCCTATCTCCTCCCTTCCACCATTTTCCTTGCATTGTGATGATCTAGTGGGCACTTCTGTCAACAGGACAAATGCCTCCTCTGACTATAACCTCTTAATAGTTGTGTATAATGAAAACTGTAAACTTTTTTAAATAAAATGTGTATATACCTTGGCAAATGGCTGGACCTTGATCAATAAGATGATAGCCTCAATGATTACTTAGCCCTTTCTTAAAAACAACTCCCTCCTTATTCATCTGACTCCTCTCAGCAGCAGACGTTGGCTTATTTTTGTTTTTGAGCGAGAAGCTCTTACAGAGGCAGATGACTGGGTTAGTTTGGGAAGGGTGACACTCCCTTTAGACGGTAGTAACTAAGAGGCCCCACCTCCAGAGTCCTGTCTCTGCACCTGGAATGGCAGGTGACTGCTGACTATAAACAAGGCTGGCTGTGAGGCTTCTCCACAACCTTGAAGGCCTTAAAAGGCCTTCTCTTCTGTGAAGTCCTATAGCTTGAAGGACCCCACCTGCCTTCTTGTGGATCAGCAGGAATGGCTTCCATGTTGCAGGTCAGCCCAAATCTTCTAGACCCTGTCAGCTAATGCCGAGCGAAGGATACCTGCTTGGCCTGGAGTTCACAGGCGGTGCAGCTTCCTGCCAGGCCTCACTGCGCCAAATGCCAGCCTCAACCGGGAGGGTTGGGGAACCGTGGGTTTTAAACAGCAGGAGGGTATCACTGGGTTGATTAGCTCAGCATTTCAATTCCTTTCTAAAGCATGTGCCCTCGATGGCCACCAGATGGCGGTGTTGCCTCATCTGGAAAATCCCACTTGGGTTCGATTTTGTGAGAAGGCCCTTAAGACAAAGGGAAAACTTGGTCACATGCTTTCATTCCCCCAAACACTCTTCCACTGTTTTCTTCTCCTTACTCACTTTTCCCAGACTTCTTTTATTCCTCACTGCATCCTAATGTAGTCTCCGGTAAGGCCCAGCTTTGTATCTACCAGGGAGAGGGAGAGTAAGGCCACCTAGGAGTGGTGCTCTGCTGGGAATGAGCACCTTAAGGTGTTCCTGGGGCAAGAGAGCCCTCGGCCACCCAGGCTCCCTCCAGTGCTCAGAAGCAAAACATTCAGTAGGTTCTTTGC